ACACATGTCTCTCTTTCACACAATAAATAAATTTGAAAATATAAAAGTAATTAAAAAATGTAACTCTTTGACCTAAGAATAATTTATTTCAGTTACAGATATAAGCATTAATTTTAATATTTGTATATATGGAGGGTCAGTAGTGATGACCGAATCTAGGGCCCATTAACACTGGCAAACATTCTACCACTCAGCTACATTCCTATCCCAATGTTTAATTATTTCATTTTAAAAAAAAACATTATATACGATACAGAATTTTCTATTTGTCAGTTTTTTTTGTTCTCAGTACTGGTTTTAAGATAAGAGGTATATATTGTGTGTACATGACTTACATACATGTATGTCAGTGGGTTTTGTTTCTACCTACATCTGAAAATTCCATATTTTACATCCACCACCTTTGGCTGCCCTTTCTTGTAATTACTATTCTTTTCAACTCTAAGATATGCACCCACGTCTTTAGAAGAACCTGGCTGAAGCTTAGGCTAATACTGGTGGGCAGGTGCACCTAATCTGATTAAACATCGCCTTGCTGCTCCCCAGAATAGCCATAATGTTCTGCATTCAGCACCCAAAGGAATTATGCACCTTCTATTTTTGCCAATAAACATGAGTTTGCTGTGACTATCTCTTGGGGACGCTCAGGAAGCTGAATACAATTAACACAAATAGAAATGTATATTCTCAGAGATCAGTGAAAAGAAGCTAAGAGGAATACTGACCTACGATGTATACATGGCACAAAGGGATATTAGTTTTGTTGATAATGCTAACTAGATAGCATGTTAATGCCATAAGGGGTACTCAGCAGTTTCATCTTTTTAATTAAAACAATATTTGTCTGTATATGTTTAATGTACATGGCATAATGGACAGGTGCATAAAGATCTATTAATCTTTTTCAAGATTACTTAGTTTATTACCTTATAAGGATAAAGCACAATTAATAAAAACTCAAAGATAGATATTAGGGTTCAACCTGAAGGTTAGCAAAGCAAAGCACACAGCCACTGGCCCTCACTTTGACCTCAGTCTGAAAATGAAAATATCAGAATGAGACTGAGAGCTGTCTTCTCCCATTTTATAATCCCCTCTAGTTCTGGGATTAAAGATGCGCACCACTACCTCCTGGTTTCTATGGTAAACTAGTGTGGCTATGATAAAGGTATGTGTCATTGTTGCCTGGTTTATAAGCCTGGTCAGTGTGGCTGTTTTACTTTTCTGATCTCCAGGCAAGCTTTATTTATTAAAATACAAATAAAATGACACTACATAAGGATAATCCCACTTCTTAGTCTCAATGCTCTTTTTGGATTTAACATTTGAAGCTGTGGTAATGACACAACCTTGCACAATTGTCATTTATCATTATAAATGATTTATCCAGGCCTGGTCTCAACATCGACCCAGGGGCAGAGAATTGAGATCCACATCTTTCTGTGTTCTTGACGGGGATGTTACACCCAGCTCAAAGTTTTCAGTCACCTCTTCTAAAGGAAATACAAGTAGAAATGAAAGACTTCAAAATCATGATAACATTTGGAAATTGGTCCACACATTTCTGCCTAGAGACTGATTACTAGGAATGTGTGATTAAGTAGCAGGGTGTGAGGACATTGAAAATCATAGGGAAAGATAGCATTTCTCTCTGACACAGAAAAGATGGGAAAGGTGCCAGCTTCTTTTGACGTACTTCGCTACAGAGAAAAAAGTGAAGACTTCAATAAAAAACATTGTATATATGTTTGGATATCATAAAAACTACCTGGTGAGGATTTTGAGGGACAAATTCTAGAAATAAGGAACTCAAAATGATGAGACCAACCTTTGGTATCGTCTTTATTTCCAAGATATTCCTGATTTTAAAATAGCAACGGGGCGGGGGAAGGGGGGCGGGGTGATCTCTCTGAGTCACAGTAGGAGCTGTTTTGGATTCCAGCAGGTCTGTAGGTAAATTTTATGTAGTTCAGAAACCAACCTAAAGGAGGAGCTCTTGATTACAAATGAGATTCAACCATGGTGCTAAAAGGTTATTTAGTTAATGTAGATATTAAGCAGATGTTTACCAAAATCTACCAAAATTGAAGTTTCAGCTTTGAGGCAGCTCAAATCATGATCAAGTTGAAGAACTTCCCCCAAGCAAAAGGCAAAAGTCCTCTAGGAAGCATTTTACTTTGTTGTGACATTTTGTTTCGAAGTTAAAGAATACAAAATGTCAAACAATTAATAATATCATCACAAAATGTAAGTAAGAATGATGTGGGAGTGATTTCTTATTAATAAAGAAACTGCCTCGGCCCTCATAGGACAGAAAATTAGGTAGGCGGAGTAGACAGAGGAGAATGCTGGGAAAAAGAAGCTGAGTGGGAGAGTCGCCATGATGCTCCCACTCCAGACAGACGCAGGTTAAGATCCTCTCTGGTAAGCCAGCTCATGGGCTACACAGAATATTAGAAATGGGTTAGAACAATATGTAAGAGCTAGCCAATAAGAAACTGGACCTAGCCGGGCCAGACAGTGTTTGAAAGAATACAGTTTCCATGTAATTATTTCTGGGTATAAACTAGCCATGCGGGCGGCCGGGTGCCGGGGACGCAGCCCCGCCGCTCCTATTTCAACATAAGAACAAGGTTACAAAAATAATTTTTAGACAATGATGGGAAGGGGGACATGCCAGAGACTAAGAGGGCTCGCTGCTTGCATGGTGGTGTCTCTGTTCTCAGAAGACAATTCCGGGTGAGTTGATATCCAGGCTTCTCAGAAAACTGAGCTTCCTGCTTAGTGCTGAATGTTCTGACCAAGCCCATTAAACTGTTTCTGTGTCTGTCTCAAACGCCAAAAATAGAACCAGCTGCTGCTACTTCAGCAAGTGTGCCTCAAGAATGAAGAATGGTTGCCAAGATGATAGTGACGAAGCAGGTAGATGACGGCAAGGTATATGCTTCTCCTCCAACATCATAGTCTCCCTCTATAGCCTTTTCATGGTAGCGCCTGAAATTAACAGAAAGCCAGAGAAAAGGTGAAATGACTTTGCACATTTCCTCTAACAGGGCAGACTGCAGAATGATTTGTTAACTGATGAGAAGTTATACCCTGTTGTGAGAATTCCTTCAGCCAATAGCCTTTAAGATACCAGCCCAAAGGGGAGCTATAAGAGCAGATGAAAAACATGCATGGCCCTTTCCTGTTGGATTCAGTTCTAGTTCCCAAGACATGCAGAGGATTGTGGATCGCCACCCTTACTCTGAGTTTATCCCCAAATAAATAAACCTTTGTTATACTACATTCTGGAGTATTGTGGAACTCTTTGATATTACTACAATTTGGTGCCCAACATGGGGATCAAAACCAGGACCCTAAGATTAAGAGTCTCATGTTCTACCAAATGAGCTAGACATTGGGTGCAAATTGTAGTTGTATCAAAGAGTTCCTCAGTAGCCCATAATGGAGTATAACAAAGGTGTATTTATTTGGGGATAAACTCACAGTAAGGGTAGCAATATGCAGGCCTCTCTCTGTGTGCCCTGGGAACTGGAACCAAATCCTGCAGGGAAAAGCTTTTACACGCTTTTTTATTTACAATTAAAGTACATGAGACCACACCCAGTGTGGGTCGGTATCTTAAAGTCTATTGACTGAAGGAGTTCCCAGAACAATATACCACTAATTGTCCCCTTTGACTGAAACCAAGTAAAACCCAGATGACAGAGTAGAATTAGAGGGGACCTAAGTATCAGTGCTGTTAAACTGTTTGTTTTAGATAAGTCTGATTAATATTTTCAAAAATTAAATGCCAAGATGGAGAAAATATTGACAAAGTACTAGCAATTATGTAGTTTATGAATTCTCACACCTAACTGAAGACAGTTGATGGCTTCTAGGGGGAGGTATAGTCAGTTTTCTTTAAGGGTGTTTACCCTAAAAGAGCAATCGTAATACAGAGGATTGTCCCGCCCCAGGAGTATGTGTGTATGTGTGTGTGTGTCCTGCCCTAGGAGTATGTGTGTATGAGTGCATAAACACACACACACACACACACACACACACACACACACACACACACA